GCATGTTGGCCTCATGAGGAAGTTCTCGTGCAGCCTATGCTGGTTTTGGGGCTGCTGCCCCATTTGGGTTGAACGAATCACAGGCACAGCTCAAGAGTAAAGGTGGGAAGTGATCCTATCAGGGCACAGACACTAGCAGGTGCCTGAGCAGTCTACCATGTAACTCAGGTGCATTGTTTATGGGCTTGGAGTTTTCATTTGCTTCAATGAACTTATTACCTCTTCCCACGACTTGCTAATCTGTCCATAACTCGGTGCTGTCTCATCCTCCAGGTGTGTGTAGCACAACCTAGGCCACGTAAGCATCTGTGTCTCGGGTTAGCAGACTTTTCCTGTGTAGAGCTGGGTAACAGACATCTTGGGTTTCGTGAGCCCCACGCAGTACTACTGCTCACCTCTGCTGTTGAAGGGTGGCAGCAGTCAGAGATGTCACACAACCTAACGGGCACAGCTGGGTTCCAATGAGACTTTCAAAAACTAATAGACTATGCATTACCACTCAGCCATAAAAAAAGAATGAACTCCTGCTTTTATGCAACAAAATAGATGCACCTGGAAACCATTATGGTCAATGAAATAACTCAGTCTCAAAAAGACCAATAATACATATATTTTTTTCTCTGATATGTGACAGGTAATAATATAGAATATAAAAAAAGTATAAGAATGAAACGGTCACTTTGGAATATGGTTGCTATTTTATACTGTTTATACTCCAGTGAAACTGTGGTCTTTCTACTTTTTGCTTGTCAGATATTATGATTAGTGGTGAATTAAGCCTGTAAATATAGACTGAAATTACGTCTTTGCGGGCCTTGTGCAATGGCTCAGTGGCTAAATCCTTGCTTTGCAAATGCCAGGATGCCGTCTGGACACCTGTTTGTATTCTGGCTGCTCCACTTCCCTTCCAGCTCCCTACTTGTGCCCTGGCAAAGTAGCAGAGGATGGGCCAAAGCGTTGGGATCCTACACCCATGTGGAAGAACCTCTTGGATCCTGGATTTTGGATCAATTCAGCACTGGCCCTTGTGGTCACTTGGGGAGTGAACCAGCAGATGAAAGATCTTTCTCTCTGTCTCCCCTTCTCTCTGTATATCTCCCTTTCCAATAAAGACAGAAAAATCTTTTTAAAAAATTCTATCTTTATACAAACTGATGAAGAGAGGGGAGGGAGGCAGTGGATCTTGAAGGGTAGGGAGGAGGGAAGGAAGTGAGCTCATTTTCTTGGTAATGTATCAATGGAAAGCACAAATAAAATTAATTTTCAATAAAACTAAAAATTTACAAATTGTGACTAAATTTATTTCTCTTAGAATACTAGTTAAAACATATTAATAGATCTGTTTTATTACTTATTACAATAATTAGCATAACAAAAATTAAGAATAGAAATCAGTAAATATTTTACTGCACAGAAGAGCTATATTAAGCATTATAATTTTCACAACATCCTTAGGAGATAGGTGCCATTGTTAAACTATACCCACATTTGAAAATTGTGTCTAAGTAATTTCTTAGCGTTTGTCACTCTTTAAGACTTGATATGTTATTGTTTGACCCAACAACAGTATAATGTATATACATATTCTATATATATATATTTGATGTAGGGTAGATTTAAAAATAATAATACATATCTTACTACATTTTTATGAGCATATAATTTCTGGGACATATCAATATTTAACCAGGAAAAAAAAGAAAGATGGTGGGTTAGCTTTGCCTTGTGGACTGTGGCTTGTCGACCCTTGATTATATCATAATTTTCTAGACTGCTCCAAAGTTGTGTATCACACTCCAGTACTGCTACTTCTCATATTTACAAGTTAAACGTCATCCTAGTAGCATCTGATTTGATCATGGAAAGAACTGATCAACACATGCTACATTTTCACCTAATTGTTTAACATCATAAACAATTCATTGGGGGTGGTGCTAACAGTATAGTAGGGAAACCCACAACCTGTGATGCCAACACCCAGGTAGTGCCAGTCCGTGTTCCAGCTGCTCCCCTTCCCATCTAGCTCTCCGCTCACATCTTATGAAAAGCAACAGAAGATGGTCCAAGCACTTGGGCCCCTGCCATACACACAGGGGACCTGGATCAAGCTTCAGGCTTCAGCCTGGTCCAGGACTGGCTGTTGTAGCCACCTGGGAAGTGAACTAGTACTGGATGTGAGATTTCTCTCACTTTCCCTGTGTAACTCTGATTTTCAAATAAATAAGTAAAACTTTTACTTTCAAAAGTTCATAAGGTGTTTCCCAAGTATCTTAAGAGTCTTAGAAAAAGCTTTGCTGGTAGCATACATTGTCCAAATAGACTCCCAAGAGCACTGGATAGGAAACCCAAAATAGCTGTGAAATAGTCACAGGCAAGTTAAGCACCTTTCCAGAGTTTTCATCTGGAAATACGACTATAGTCCTATCTCCTAGAGTTACTATGAAGAAAAAAATGAGCCAGCTCCCATTAAATAGATGAGACCCAGATCAGAGTAAATGCTGCTAAAATGTGGAAATGAATTCAGAAAATCACAAATGCTAACTCTCTTCAATGATGACTTGATGAAAATGAGTATACGCCTGTTTCCAAGGTTCATTGTGTTGCTGTATAAACTCAAGGACTTTTAGTAAGAAAGTCAACAAATTAGTTTAGGCCCGATTACTTTCAAGCTTGTGGAAATTTGCATGGCAAATCACAAGCAGGCGAAGTGGAGCTTGATTTGATAGCTAGCCCTCAGATGCCAGCAAGAGGGCATGCAGGTGCATCCCACACTTTCTGATTTGTTGCTAAAACCTTAGACAGATGGCAGGTTCTTCACGAACATACTGGCTACCTAGCAGTCCCTAAACAGCAGGCGCTGGCTAGGAGTTGCCGATGTATTGCTTTCCTTTGTCATGGTGTGCTGTTGCTGAGCCCCCCAGCCATGTGACCCCCCGTCTTGTCTAACTCATGTAAATAAGACTGCCTGCTGCAGCAGCTGAAAGCACAGAAGCTGCTGGGGTGGCCAGCCGGTCTTTTGTTTTGCTACGCCATGTGCAGCTGTGCGATGGCCCGGTGACCCATCTGTGCCCCCGTGGTCAGCGTTTCCTCAGTGAATCGCTTTGACTCTAGTGTTTGTCTTCACCTCACTGACGGGAGCTGGCAACAGCAGTAGAGTTCAGGAGGCCGGCTGGCCAGTTTTTAGGCACACTACACCCTGGAAGCCTCATGGTTCTAACAGCCCACCTTTCTTGGATAAAGCTGCTCTCACAGCGTTCTTACTGCATAATGCTTTGACATCAATAATTCAGAAAAAAACTGTGCTTACTGTGTGCCAACTCTTATTAAATCTGCCGAAAATTTTTCTTACCAATCGGCAACTGGATTTCAAGAGAGCAAAAAGTCTTAAAGAACAATGTTCCATGACTGACGTGTGATGATCAGGTTGGTACCTGAAACAGAACATGTCTGTGTGGTGAGGATAAGGATGTCACCAAGAAAAGGAAGACGGGGGAAGGAAAAGGCCTCCCCTATGGAGGGAGGGGGCACTTGCCTTCAGAGAAGCTGGCACAGGGTCATTTGTGGTCGCTGGCCTGGACTGTGCCCACTGCAGGTGATCATGGCATGTAGGCCACTGGGCACTGGGGCAGAGAGCAGCATTTGGCTTCCCAGCCTGGCTCTGTTGGCAGAGCCCACAGGCACACAGCTCAGGGACGGGAAGTACTCTACAACCGCAATGTGAGAAGCAGACTGCAGTTGACGGCCTCATTCCCAACAATTTCCTGTGTATTCCTGCACCCCAATACCCCTTGTTTGTGGAATTTAAGGAGAGGGGTTTGGTGTTTAAGTTAGATGTTTCTGGAGTTCAGCTACAAGAAATGTCACCCTGGACCGTGGTGGACTAGGAAAATAATATGCACAGAAATTGGTACGATCCCACAAGGGCTTAGAGAATGGGATTCAAGATGCTTCTTTTGGTGTTAAATATTCTGCATCTATGAATATGAAAGTCTTTCAAATGTGCATGGGATGTGTTAAGAAACTATGCAGATTTCTAGACTTCCAGTTTCTCTTTATGACATCTTCTTACAGACCACGGACTGTCTCCTTACAATTGTGTTCAGTGGTCCCCAGACTTCAGGCTAACAGAATTACCTGGTCCTGACTTGAGCTTGTCTCAGCTGGGGCCTGGAAACTTGCATTCCTATCAATCTTCAGGTGGGAGACCTGAAAGCACTGATGTGGAAGAGAACGGCTCCTGGCAGAGGGGTCAGCTGTGTCGTGTCCAAGTCCTGTGATAGCTTTCAGTCCATCCACATATGCCAGTCTGCTCTTCAGTCATTACAAGAAAACCAATCCTTTACTAACGTTTCAGTAGATTGCAACTTTTTCTTTATAGACCCTGATTTTAAGATGAGAAATATAATGGAGATTTTCTAGAAACGCGCCTACCTAAAGCCACACAGGCCAACCCACTTCTTTGTATCTCAGTTGACAACTGCAAAGTATCAAAGACAGCTTTGATTGTATCAGCACTGGCACACATTTGTTCTGTCACTGCTGGACCATCTCAGAACTACTGGGCTTGACCAGCACACAACATACTGACTCGGTTTTGATCATATGTCCTAAAAAGCCGACCCTCAAACAGTGCTTGTGACTGAGTCTGAAAAATGTTACCCGTCCACAAAATATGTAGCAACTTAAAAGAGTGGCTTCAAGACATGCAAGAGGTGCAGGCTACAAGCTGGCCCGGCCGGTCGGGAAGTCACTCACATTCCCAGCAGGTTCATCTGCACCAGGACACCCACAGAAGAGCCAACCCTTCTTGGGTCTAGTAGCTGTTGTCAACTAAATCTCTGCTCATGTTTCTCTTTTCACTTACTTTTTTTCAAGAAGTGGAATAAGTTTACTTAGACTAATCAGTTACAGTTAACCGGGGTCATAGTATAATTGTGGAGAAGATTGGAAAACAAAGGAGACCATAACTGAAAGACAAAAAATGCTGCTGACACACTGGCTGTAGCACAATTCAAGTTTATTCCATTTGTTCTTGCAACACAAAACCGTAACACAGATTTAGCATTCGGATGTACAGGAACTAGGATACTCATGAGAGACCCAACTGTGTCCAAGTATAGTATTTTGAAAAAACTTAACTCAAATATATCAAAATGCACAAAGCACTAGTCTTCCGCCATTACTGATTAGAAAGATATGATTGTTTCTCCATTTACAAAATATAATCAGGACAATTTAAATTTTTTAAATTTTGCATGCAAAACACTGCAGTTGCTTATTTATGTAGGAGGGCACTCTTACCAGCTTCTCTATACACAACTGAATTTACAATATCGCATGGAAGAAAACAGTAGCTCAGTTGAAGTGTTAGAAGAAAAAATCAAATAGGTACATAGACTGAAAAACTCATTATCTGTAGAAGGAAATCAATGGCTAGGCCTACTCGCACACACTGCATCTACCTACCATGTCTCCTTCATGCCCACGGGTTCAGAAAGGTGAGTGACTACTTGCGATACTTGGTGCTATGAACTCTAACCGCAGAGGGCCTCTGTTAGCACACTAAGTCAACAGGCAAGCCACCTGTCTTGACTTGAGATAGTGCATATGAAATGACTGATTTAATACAAAACTACAAAACATGCAAGATTTTTTCTGAGATGTTAAATAGTACTTCAGTGGAGAACAAAATTAACCTTTTGCTAATGCATGTAGTACCAAAAAGCAGACATGTTTTAGCTTTCTTTACTCAAAATATAAACATTAAGTGTTGTGAATTTCTCTGCCAAGTGGTTCAGAAATATGTTATAAATAACCTACTTAAAAAAAAATTGCAAACCACCTTGGGCAGTCTATACTATTCTATCTTTATATGTTATTTTCTCAGGCAATTGCTTCATAATCATGAGTTTACAAAAGAGCTGAGATAATAAGAGGAAGGGCGAGACAGCCTCTACTGCATTACAAGAAACATCGTGCCAGGACAAACTGTACAAAGAATCCCACAGTTTCTCTACCATAATGGCATGGGAAGCAGACCAAGTGAAGGAATGATAGGATAACACACACTCTACAACAGCCAACTACAAGAAACACTTTGAAAATAAAGGAGCAAACCGTGTAAAGGGCAAACTCAAGCCTTGCAAAGATCATCATGCCAAGAGGTGAAAAGAGACACTGGTGCGCTCGGGGGCTGGTCAGACTAACAGAATGCCCTCCAACTCAACGAGGATGTCGCTCTAACAGGCTGCATTCCATTAGCAGAGCCAGGCAAACAGAGCCAAGTATCTAATCACCTTTTGTGACTGTATTCTTGGATGGAAGAAAATTACAGGGTTAGGCTAGTTGTAAGTGAAAAAGCCACAGGATAAAAAAAGGGATTCATGGGAGAAACACACACACATGCCAACCAACCAGTTAGTAACTGATCAGTAAAACTTATCAGCCAAACTGTTTTCTGATCATGATTTAACCTACTGTAGGATGAATGTTACACTGCTGTAAAAATCATTCTTTACAATTCTTAAACTTACTCCTCCCCCACTTAAAAATTTTAAGGTACATTCAATTATTGCATGAGTTGGCCTTAAGCAAAAACTTCCATATTGTCAGTAAGCTTATATGGATGGCAAGTCAAAGGACTCTTTAAGTGCAAGATAAAAAATTAAGGTCATATACTTCAACTGTACTGCCTGGGAAATAAACATTTTGGAGATGTGTCTAAATTTCTTCCAGGTTGTAAGAACCATTATTTTAGGGCACTGTATTCTAAGAGCACAATATGTTCTGAAACTGCCATGTTTTATGCAATGTATCATTTATATAAAAAAAATAACCAAAATATGCAGGTGGGTTGGCATATGTTCAGAAGTCTACCACCAATTCAGGGAAAGCTGGTTCCAAGCACACTCTGTGGGGATGGGGTTAATTTGTCCACATGGTAAATCTCACCCCGGGGATAGCTTTGGTACACTAAGTCATCAGCATCCAGGACAGTTCTGAGCGAGACATTCCCAAGAATGTCCCCTGATTTCCAAAGTAACTGAGGTCAAGCCATTTGAATAGGAAAGGAAGAAAATCCGTACGGTACGAAGACAGCTGCTTCTTCATATGATGCTAACACACTTATGGCTATGATTCTATTTTTAAATCCCCTTTTACTACCAGCAAGAGTTTCAAAGTGTTTCAATGTTATATAAATGTCTGAATCTAAGGGAGAAAAAATATGCATACTGGAATGGTTTCTCCTTTAGACTGCTAAAATTTAACATTATAAATAAAACTAGTCAGTTTCACCTAGAGAGACATGAAATCCACGTGACGGGAGAGAAAACCCAAAGTTCAGTCATCCAGCAATATAGGAGTGCGCCCCTCCTCGTCTTCACCGAGCTTCCACCAAGAGCTTGAGCTCACCGAGGAACGATTTGGTCACTAACGGAGGCGGCGCTCGTAACTGCCAGGGATCCCCAGGAGAGTGCAATCTTAAGGCAGAAGGCTGGAGCTAATTGCTTATCTCAGCACCCTAAGTTTACATTGCAGCAGCCACTACTGCTTGCAGCTAGGGCTACCAAATATGTAGAGTTGGCCTTTGTGGAAGTACACCTTCAACACAAACTAATGAACAAGCTAGCTAGGGAGCTGAAAAGATCCAATGTTTCTGGTGTGTTTTGTCTTTGCTCTCCCTGGGGTTTCTAAGTTGTGTAGTTCATTAGAAAGGGAGAAGAGGTTGACTTGATCAGGAACCCGAGAAAAGCCTGATCATGCCTTCTTCCCTCTCCTCCAAAACATCACTTCTTTTTATTCTTTCCTGGTAGTCTGACTGGTTAGAATTTCTCCCTCCCCTCACCCCTCGTAAAGTATTTAGCTGGAGAAGCTGGCAGATAGAGTGACAGACAGACAGGCAGCAGTGTGAGGCCACAGGAGAGGCGTCGTCCCGAGTCAGCAGTCCGTCCCCCCATCACTGCAGAAGGGCTTTGATTGCCTGGTTGTCAGTGGCTTCGAGTGCGGTCAGGCCGTCCGGGCCTTTCACAGTCTTATCAGCACCCTGCGGAGAGAGGGGAGACCCTGGTCAGGAAGTGAGCCCACAGCTGGGAAAGGAGAAAACAGGAGACTGAGGGGAAGGGCTCAGTGTTCAGTGAGAATCGAGGGTTCTTTACCGACATGGTCCATTCTGTGACAAACACAATTTGCCATAAAAAACCACAAAATTTGCTATATTATTTTTAAGGCACTTGGAGTTTTTACCTATAAATCCCCTTTGACATTAAAAGAGGTTAACAGCTAGCTCTTTTATACTATCATATTTACCCAATAAATTAAACATTAGAAAATAATATCCCAGTATGTAGTATGAGATGGGAAATCTGTTTTTTAATAAGAACGTAGTCCTGTGACAAAATTACTTCTCATCTCTGCAATACTTTCAGTAAAGTTCATACCTTTTTTTCTACATATTAAGAACATGGAGGATGTTGGTCATTTTATTAGGAATATTAAGCAGTGAGTGGGACGCAGGCGCGAGGCAGGTCCCCTCGCACACCCAGTGCAATCCAAGCCTGCTTCCATGCGCAGTCTGGAGGCGCTGTCCCGCAGCAGTTCATCTGCAGCAGGTCTCCGCTCGGCCTTTGGCTGTCTCAGTACCTTCAGGTCTGTGTACTGCTTTATCTGCCTCACATTCTGGAATGAACAGCTCCACAATGGCAATCTTGTCCGTATTCTTCACCTCTGGATATTTAGTACTTAGAAACTGTCCAGTACACAGTAGGTGAGTTTGTCCTCAACTAGGTCTGAACATGCACACTCCTAGCAGAACACATTCGACAAACTAAGGGTTCTCTTTGCCAGCCCAAGTCAGCATTACATCGTCCCAACATCACATTGTCCCACCCGGCTCCTCTCATTCTTCTATCAAGCTCCCGAGGCCCACAGACTCGTCTAACTTAACATTAGTGGTTTTTCAGATACTAAGTGTAGGCAAATTTGCCAGTTTTTCCTCCATTCACCTTTCTATGCTCTCACCCTACAGAATTTCTCAGGAGTTCCACGCATTCATACACAATGCCTTCACACACATGGGATGGCACAGGAAGTGCCTTTCCCTATTTCTTTGGCAATCTATCCATTCATTCATCTCACAAATATCCAAAGACTGTCTGACAGACAGCTACTGTCAAAAGAACCAGAGATTTGAAAAGACAAAACAAAAAGCAGAGCCCTGCCAGGAAGGCTAGCATGGGAGAAAGTCAAACTGGCGGCAAGCACTGGGACGGGAGAGCAAGAGCGCAGACCCCGGAAGGAGCGGCCAGATTCGGGACGCGGGTGGGGGCCTTTCTACATGAACACTGTACGCCTGAGCCTGTTTTCCTTCCTTATCATCATCACCATCATAGCAGTAAAGCATCACAGCTCGAGCGCGTGGTGTATTATGCCGGTAGGATGGTCCCACTGCGGCTGTGTGCCCACTCTCAGGGTGCTGGATGGAAGGGTGCGGCAGCTGACAACTTGTGCTGTTGTATCGTAGATGGTGACCCAGAAGTGTCACACATTATCTGCCTACACTTAGGACAAACAGAAGGTCAGCTGCTTCTCGGGAGTGTCAGGACAAGTCCTGGCTACTCTGCTTCAGCTCCAGCTTCCAGCTTAAGTGCCCAGGAAGGCAGCTGATGATGGTCCAAGCACTTAAGACGGGTTCTGGGTTCCTGGCTTCAGCCTGGCCCAGCCTTGGCTGGTGCACACATTTTGGGAAGTGAATGAATAGACAGTTTGCCATCATTCTATCATTTAACAAACATAAAAAGACAGTCCTATTTACTACAAAGGAAGATGAGATACAAGTATCAGGTAGGCTACTATGTGCACAACTAAAACATGGGGGTCTCTGTCAGACAATGAGGAATCAGCAGATCCAGCAGGCAATTTGCAATTTACCCCCTATTGCTCAGAAAAGACTTTGGAATACACAGACAAGTTCGAGTAGCACTGCGGTCCCTGAACAGGATGAGAGCTGTATCCCTAACCCCTCAGAGCTCCAGTTCTCCAAACACCACCTCTCTTGTTCTACCTGGCTCTGGTGCTTCCCTGATGACCACAGCCATGTCTACCCTTTATCCTAAACATCACTGAATCTGAAGCCCATAATTCTGTGTGTGTGTGTGTGGGGGGGGGGCATGTTTATTACTTACATCTAAGTTTCACAAGAAGTTCCAGTCTGACCTCTCCTCAAATGAATCCGTACTCTTCCTCCAAACTTGCTCTCTCTTTTAGTCAATCATGAGCAACACTGTCTTCCACAAAATGTGGAGATTTGATGCAGTGTTGTTTATTTCCCACCCACCCAGGCAGCAGGTGGCATTTGGAACATTTCCCACCTGCCCTTGCTTCTCCACGGCAATCATCACCTTCTCAGTTCAAGCTCATGCCCAGCCTGCCGACTGCAGGCATGTGGGAAGTGAACCTGCAGAAGGAAGATTCCTGCCCGCTCCTCTCTGTGTTTGCTGGCAAGGTAGGGGTTCCCAACAAGTGTTCATACTTGTCTTGACATGCAAGTGCTACATGTGTTCATCTCTAGGGTTTTTCTCATTTACTAGCTCACTGACAAAAACCAATTTAAAAAGATCATATTTCTCTCCCTCGATCCAAAGGAATACACACATTGTATTACTTATTACTGTTCTGACAGTAATTCTGGAGACAGCCACAGAAGAGCACCTGCTGGGGAGACATACAAGTCAGAAACATCTTGCCTCATTTGTTGTTCTTGATCTTCAGGCAGATTTCTCTGAGACAAAGGGTCTACTTCTTCATAAAAATAGAGAATATCTATCTAATTGGGCGGATAATAAATTATGAGCAATATAGTACATCAAATAAAGCTTTCATTTCAAATACTTTAGCCATCTTTTTGTTTTGTTTTCTGTAGCCACAGAGAGTTTTAAAATTCCTGTATATTATTTTGCCTTTCTTTCCTATGTTAATGATATTTTAACTGGACAATATACTAGAAATATCAAGAATTCTGCACAAGTTTGTAAAATAAGTAATTTAATGGATTCATAATAATCTGTAAGGATTTTTCTTTTGAGAAAAAGCAAAATAATTGCCTTAATATAAACACTGATTTAAAAACTCTTAAAGGATGCACTGGATTAGTCTTATTTGTAATAAATATTTTTGAAAAGGCACGATCAATCTGTAGAAAAAAGTTAAAAAATTGACTAATAAAGCTACAGGCTATCCATTTAAGAAGCTTATGCAACAACAAAATCAAAGTAATTAATTTTGAAAAAGCAGAACTAAAACTTACCCTGCTGCTTTCAAAAAGGTTTTTGAAAAAAACCTTTTAAAAAAGCTTCCTTTCCTTTCATATAAAACAAGTAACAGCTTTACATGGCTACAACTTACCTCCCACCGCGCAGCTCCCTATCATTTATCTGACTACAAGGACTGAGACGCACAACAAGGATGACAGTGTACAGGGGTGGGAGGAGGAGGGGGCTGAAGGGCTGCAAAACCAGGGCCTGGCCAGGAGCCAGGAATTCCATTCGGGGTTCGCAAGCGGGTGTCACTGTCCCCCTTTCCCAGGTCCATTAGCAAGGAACCAGACAGGAAGTTGACCTGGACTGTAACCAGAATTCTGACACATCGCTTCTCTGCCTTTTGGCTAAGATCAAGTGCAGAATTCTGATACAGAATTCTGGTGTTGCAAATTGTGGCTTCACTAGCTGCACCATAATGCTGGCTTCTCATCAAATTTTTTTGCATATGTTTTTGTGTATAAATATTTGTTTATTTGAAAGGCAGAGTTTCAGAGAGAGAGTGAGAAATCTTTCATTTGTTGGTTCACTCCATGAACAGACACAAAAGCTAGGGCTGGGTCACGCTGAAGCCCAGAAACCTGGAATGTAGCCCAGATCTCTCTTGTGGGCGGCAGGGCCCAAGTGCTCGGGCTGTTCTCTACTGCTTTCCTGAGCAAGCAGAAACCCAAGCTCTTAATCATTAGCAACTAGTCTGTGGACCACTAATTCTGAGTAACACTACTCTAAATCTCAATTTTGAACATTCTCTTTTTCTATCCACGCTACCACAAAGAGTTTAAATTAATTAAAAAACACTTACCTTGAACAGTTAGAGAGGCTATGACAAACAAGCAGTTAAATGAGTAATTCACCTTACCTTTGACAGAAGCAATTTCACACAGGAAACATGACCTTCATAGACAGCAGACAGGAGAGGAGTAATATGATGTTTATCTGGAGCCTAGAAATAATCAGAGATCACCTTATAAATTTATCATTTCTTCTTTCTTTTTAGATCTTATCAGGGGACTTTCATGAATGCTTCAAAGTCAGTTTTTATCTATTTACCTTTGTATAATTATCCCAGAATCAAATTTCTAGTCTCTGAAGTCTACCAAGAGGCCCCAGTCCACAAGCCATGTCTCTTTTGAGAGCCAGTAGAATAAAAAAGGGAGCAAGGCTCTGACCTCGGCGACCTCAACTCTGATCTCAGCTTTGCCATGTCTCTATTGTGTGACTATTGAGTCTTTGCGTCTTACTTCTCTACTGTAATACAAACGCCATTGTACTTTCACCAGCAGAAAGGAACGGTGGAATAGAGCTTAACCAATCAAGAGGTAAACCATGACCTTCACGATGGGGTTGGGTGACACGGTGTCCGTCACACTTGCTGCTGCAGTTACTTAAACATCTTCCCCAAACTCCAAAGGGCAGAAGTGACAATAAAGCTGGAGTCAGGAGGAGCCTGGTCCTGTCTGCCCCGTCCTACAGCCCAGCCTGGATCGCTCCTGACGGCAGAGTGCCGTGCTGCTTGCAGACAGCGCCTGCTCCTTTAGCTTGAAAATCAAAAAAGCAACAGCTAAGGGGAAAATAGCCCAATCTTGTTTGTCAACTTTCAAAAGAATTTATTTGGTTTAACTTCTTAAAAGAACAACATACTTATAAGTTATAGGAAGTGCTGTAAAATTGTAAATAATGTTATTTTAAAAATGAGGCTTCTACAAATAACATTTTACACAATCAGAAACAGTAAAAGCACTTACTAGGAGTTTTTTCTAGAATGACAATGTTTCTACGTACGTTGATATCTGCTCCTTTTAGCAGCAGGAACTCCAGGATTTCAAGCTGCCCGCAGTCCGCTGCGTAATGAAGAGGCTTCCTTCCCCCTTCCAGCGTCCTGTTGACATCTTCTCCCTTACAAGAGAACCCACGTGCAATGAGTGTCCGTGTTCCGACACGACAGAGAAACTTCTCCCCCCGGGAGCACCTGATACTTTCCATTTCTTACAGCACGACTTTCATGAAATAACAAAGTGAAACAAAAACTTGAAATGAAATTCTGCACAACAGAAAAAATGCACATGAGACACAGTTGTGAGTTTAAACTTTCTCCTTCATCTCTCCACTTTCACAACAATTCTTACTTTAGCAGACAAGAAGTTACTATACAGGCTGTGTGGGACTGGTGGAAGAGAAACAGCCTGTGTGCAGAGCCTAGCAAAGCAGCAGGTATGGAAAAATAAAAGGTTTCAAATCAATGCTCATTCCACTTTCACCAACAGAAATAAAATTAAAGCAAGCAGGAGGAAAGAATAAAGATCAGAATAGAAATCAAAGAAAGCAGAAAATAACACTGAGAAATAAAAGGTGATTCCTCAACACAGCTGATACATTTCCAGCAGGAGTGACCAGGGCAGGCAGGCAGGCACAAAGGCCCCGCAGGAGGGTCCCCACGCAACCTCCCCATGTGACATCTCCAGACGCCAGTCTCCACTGGCAAACCGTGTTCAACGTTCAAGGAAAACACAAAACCAGAGAAAATTAAAGGGATGAGAAGGAATTTCAACTCATTCTGAGGCAAGCATTATTTTGATACTAAAACTAGACAAAGATGTTGCAAAAGCCAGTCATGGGCACCCTCTGGAAAACAAGTGGAATTACGCATCTCTGACCACGAAAACTTCACCCTTCACTGACAAAGACGTGTGCTTGTGTACCTCTAAACTAGATGCATGGCTACGTATCATCCATTCACAAGAATGTAAGATGCCCACTCCACTAAGTCCTTACTCTACTCCTCAAACCTTTCACTGCAGTACTCCAACAGCGAGAACTTGAGTCTGAAGGCAAAATCCTAAATAGCCAAGTAAGAATTTTTCTCAAAGTATTACTTTACTTATCAAATTTATACAAACATATTTTCATGAATACCAATGTAGATGTGCAATCAAACTGTGGAGTTTGTGGTAACAGAGAAGTCACAACTCCAAATCTGTAGTTCTCGCTCCCCCTGCATTTACTTCATGGTGTGGAACAACTCTCCATATTCCAGCTTGCAAAGCACCATGCTCTACGTCCGCTTTGGTTTGGCCGCCATTCACCGTGAGCCACACAGCCCACGCGCGCGGGACCCCATACTGCCTGCTGCTCCTGGGAGCCACAGCCCACTAGGCGATCCAAGCGCACAGGAAGTCTACATTCTCTGACATCTTTCAGTTTTTTACAGTTACCTTTCATCAGATTATGCCATTTTCCTTGTTACCCGATTCTGGGTTTCACTGCCCATGGAAGGTGGTACTAAACAGTAGAAAGAACACTAGACAGGAGACCTCGTTGGGCTCCAAACTGCCTGTTACTAGCCACACTGGGGCATTTGTCAAGTTTGGTGGCCCCTTAGTTTCCTTATTGTAAACTCAGAAGCTGGAAGAGGTGATTGCTAATTTTTTTTTTTCTTTTTCCCTTTGTTGCTTTTGTTCATGTGCTAAAGGTATCTGGTGCGTTTGTCAAGCTATAACTCTTCCTCTTAGTTCTAGCATTCTACACCCAGGAAATGGGCTTTTCTGCACTCACGTGAAAAGAAAGCAGTTCCAAAGATGGCTGAAAATAATGCTGAAAACTACCACTGCTTTACAGCTTCCTACTTATTTGAATAGGGCAAGCTGGTTTAACACGCATGAATAAAACAAAACAAAAACTATATATTTTTTTTCTTTCAGTAAGAGTAGGGATGGGGGGAGGGAGGTGAGCGTTGTGGTGTTGGCAGATAAAGCTGCCACTTGCTCCACTTCTAACACAGCTCCCTGCGAATGGCCTGGGAGAAGCAGTGGAAGACAGCCCATGTGGCTAGGCCCCTGCCACTCGTGTGGAGACACAGATGAAGACGCTGCCTCTTGGCCTTCACCTGGCGTTATACTGGCTGTTGCAGGCATCTAGGGAGTGAACCAGCAGATGGAAGGTTTTTCTTTCTCTCTGACTTGAAGTAAGACAATACTTACAATTAGAATTTACTGTACTGTATGTAAGTTGGGCACTGTCTCTCCCTCTCATCTACTGTCTTAGAGAAGGAAACACGTAAACACATGAGTGCTATTTAACTGGATGTCGCAGGAATAGTGTAAGTGGGAAATACAATCAAGAGGATGCTCAACAACTTTATCTCCCTGAGAACTCATCCTTCACTGCGCTCGTCTTTGTTTTGTTTAATTTTAGAGGCAGAGGAAGAGAATGCACTTCCATCTGCTGCCTTTACTTTCCAAATGCCCAGAACAGTCCAAGTCTCGAGTTGGGAAGCCAATGACTTGAGCCATAACCACTGCATGCCAAGGTCTGTAACGGATGTAGCTGATCAGGAGCTGAGGCTAGGTATCAAAACCAGACCAACACAGAACACGATGTCTTTACAAGCAGCCTGTGACAACCCACGATTCAGCTTTTGATGTTATTAAGTAGTAAATATATTCATATACATATACACACACACATACTTACTATTTTTATTGGAAAGGCAGATATACAGAAAGGAAACACAGAAACATTTTCCATCTGCTGATACACTGCCCAAACGGCTGCAACAGCCACAGCTGAGCCACCTGTGACAAGTCAGGAGCCACTCCGAGTTTCCCACGTGGGCACAGTGACCCAAAGCTTTGGGTCATCCTCCACTGCCTTTCCAGGCCACAAGCAGGGAGCTGGCTGAGAAGTGGAGCAGTCCAGACCTGAACTGGAGCCCATGCAGGATCCTAGTGCTTGCAGGGGAAGAATTGGCCACTTGAGCCAGTGAGCCATCACAAGATTCCCCTCTCCCCCGCCCTTTTTCTAAAGAATTTGAGAAAGAGACAGAGTGTGTGTTTTCCATTGTCTATATCACTTCTCAGGTGGCTGCTGTGTTTGGAGCTGGGCCAGGTGCAAGCAGGAGTCAGTCTCCCAAGAGAGTGACTGGGGCTCAGACACCATAGTCATCGCCTGCAGCCTCCCTAGGCGCACCAGCAGAGCTGGATCGGAAGCAGAGCGGCTGGAACTGAAACCGGAGCTGGCATGCCAAAGTGGGCTGCTGATGCTGTAAGCGGTCTAACTGCTGCCACAACACTGGTCCCACAGATGTATTTATATCTCATGTAAATGGGGTTTTAAATGTGTTTAGGGGTCAGAGACATCTTACACTTCTTTTATTTCTGCCACGATGACTCATACTGTACTTTTATGCCTCAGTAGCAGTGTGTTGTTAATGATCCTGCAGAAGTAAAAGCTCAAAGTTCAACACTCTCCCTTTCACAAACTACTACAGTTTTCCAGCTCATCTTAGAATGATAAAACTACACAGACTAACCCACAACCAAGTAGACACAGTTATGTGTCTGGAAAGAGGGTGGAGATCCTGTCTAATTCCCCGAGTTAACACTAACGCAAATGGAAGACATGTAAGGCATTTGTTAAACACACTGTGGGTAGGCAGGCTTGAGAATTCCTGACCTACAGTCAGGACGGAATAAACTATGAGTAAAGCACATTCTATTCTAAAAGCAAGTCAATATTTACTCATCAGAACACACAATACTCATGCTCCTTTGTAGCTAAGGGGAACCGGGAAGAGTACCTCCACACCTTGGGTATAGTGATTCTCTTATTTTTAGGATTAAGAAGTTTATTGTTTATATAAGATGTACCTACTAATATGACAGTATCTATCAATGTAACAAAGCAATAATGGGTGGTATCTATTAATATCACAAAGCTCGTGCTAAAATGGAATAAAAATTTGAAATCTATACAGGTATTTCACAAAAGACATTTTCCTTCTTAAAATTTTTTAGAAATATTTATTCCTGGGGCCAGCATGGTGAGCATGGTGGCACAGCAAGTAAAGCCACTGTGTGCAGTACCTGCCTCCACATGGCTGTACCACTTCTGATCCAGCCCCCTGTGGCTATTTCTACGTTGTAGCTTAGGTCTGGTCCAGCCCTGACCAATGTAGCCATATGGGGAGTGAATCAGTGGCTGGAAGATATTTCTCTCTCTATGTAACTCTGCCTTTTAAATAGGTAAAATGCTTTTTTAAATATATTCCCTTCTATCAATTACAGTGGAAAACATTTTCATTTTCAAATTAGTTCATTTAGAAGTAACAAAAATACATTGCATATTAATACAAATAAGCATTTTAGAATTTATTTTTTTAAATGTTTCTCTCATGTTTATAAGTAATATACATAAGTAAATCATCTGTATTGTCTATTTTTTTTAAAGATTTATTTTATTTTTATTGGAAAGGCAGATATACAGAGAGGAGAGACAGAGAGGAAGATCTTCCATCCAATGATTCACTCCCCAAGTGAGCGCAATGGCCGATGCTATGCCGATCCGAAGCCAGGAGCCTCTTCCGGGTCTCCCACACGGATGCAGGGTCCCAAAGCTTTGGGCTGTCCTCGACTGCCTCCCAGGGCCACAGGCGGGGAGCTGTGATGGAAGCTGGGCTGCCGGGATAGAACAGACGCCCATATGGGATCCCGGGCGTGCAAGGCGAGGACTTAACCACTTGCGCCACTGCGCCGGGCCCACATTTTAGCATTTAAAAAAACTAAAACGAGAACAAGAAGGGCAGCAGGTACTACAGCACATTTCTTGCAAATTCTCTAAATGTTTGTTGACTGTAGCATTGTGCACTGGTCATGAAGAAAATATTGCCTCAGTGAACTGCGCATGCTTTCCAAAGTCTGCCAAGTTTTTTTTTTTTAAAATGGAAATTCAAAAGCATCCATTAATACAACACCTAGTATCATCAGAAAGACTTTAAAGTACTGGAAAGCTATCAAAATCAAAATGGAAGACAAATGTTTCAAAATTGTCTTGAGCTATAACTTTATCTTGATAAAGAAATTTTCTTTCCAATAAAATAAATAAGTCCTTATTTTTTTTTT